ATATGATTTGTTACTCCAGGAGTCAACCAGCCTGTGTTGGTCGTAATTTTGAATGCACAGCATCTCTTAGTCTCTCCAGGATGATGTGGCTTAATATTTTGCTTGCTCTGGGTGGACAGGAGCATGATTCCATGCCGGTTCTTGCAAAGACTTAGGTCAACCTTCTTTGGAAGTTTGACAACTTCGAACTTATTCCAATCGATCACCAGGTACATTTCTTCCCCTCCTTGCCTCCAAATACTGTGTAATAGTGGTGTGAGCGAATCCGCAGTTGTCTCTGTGTCTGTTTTCAGTGCTTCTGGAGGAATTCCATGTGGTCGTGCTGCTTTCGCGGATTTCATCAACTTAATGGAGTTGAGGATTTCATTTTTGTTCTTGTCGGAGTCTTTGTGTTTTCTCTGGTAGTTCTGTGGATGGACTGGTGGTAGTATTTCTGGATGAGTTGCAGTTGTTGTTGTTGTTGTTGTTGTTAGTGGTGGTGATGGTCGATTGAAGAGTTTTGCGAAGTGATTAGCTCATCGTTTTCTTTGTTTTTCCTCTTTGGTTACTAGGTTTTCTTCTCTATCTTTCATCGGTTTCGTTTGCATCGATCTTTCCCTTCCCAGATAGTAACTTGGTTATTCGATTTATTGTTGTCAGGTCCCTCCTAACAGCAGCTCGTTCTGCTTCACTTGGTGGCGTTTGTAAAAAGTGTCTTTTGTCATTACGTGCACTATTCTTCACTGCACTGCACTGCACCGCACTAGTTAATTAACTGCTCAACGATCTTCCTCTCCCTCCTCCATCAGCTTCCATATGTCCATCGAGATCCGTTCCTTACCCTGTCTCGTTTCTTCTTCCTTCCTAGTGAGGTTATGCAGGTTTCCTTCTACGTCTCTTTCAAAGAGTTACAGTATTCTTCACGCATGTTGCTTAATGTCTCCCACTTTATCCTGATGACTGACGAAGTGAAAATGTCCTTTGTAGTTTCGTCCTTCACTTTCTGTTCTGGGTGTTCAACTTTAAATGTGGTCCATCACCAACTTTTTTGAAGGCTTTGAAATTGATGCTGAGCATAGGTTCCTTGCACTAGATAGTGAGTGGTGTGAACCTACACCTGCTCCCCTTGTTGATATTGTGTCCAGTAGGTTGCGTCTCCACTATCTTCACATTGAGATGAAGTCGACCTGATTTTTAGTGTGTCCTGGTGCCTGGTGAACTTTGTGGATATCCTTGTGTTTGAACATACTGCCTCCAATCATGAAATCGTCGAATGCGCAGAATTCTGCAAACAATCCTCCATTCTCATTCAATCTACCGAGGGCCTCTCGACCCATGGTTAGTTCTCTTCCTGTGTTGTCTGTTCCCAGTTTAGCATTCTTGTCACCCATTATAATTTTGATGCTGACATCTGTGGTACAGTCTTGTCGATTACTGATTGCAGTTGACGATAGATTCCATGTCTCTGAGCTTACTTCTGCTTTCATCTAGAGAAGAGAAGACAAATCGACCGATCGGCTTCCCTAAGGCTTGCACCAACCGGCATCATTTCGTCTCCCCGATTCCAGCAAGTAATAAGTTTATTTTTATTTTTTATATTTCCTTTGTGCTTTGAAGTTTCTGTAGCGGTTGATTTGGTTTTAAGGCATAGGGTTGCTAGCCCTACACCCAACCTTACCTCTTTATCCGGAATTAGGACCGGCTAGTAACTAATGAACAAGTAAACTAGGTGAGGTTTATCTTCTAATTATGTTATCCATCTTTCTTGAATAGACTACTTGTTTCAAGTAATGTAATACAATTTATCTTTGTAGTGATTAAATGAAACGTGGCGCTCAAATTCTCCTAAGATATGTGCAACATCTATGGAGTGAAGATTTATAATTCCATGCAAAATGACCTTGTTATTATTATTATTATTTTATAATGGCTTATGTCACTGTATCAAATCTTAATTATGCACAGTTTCAACTCTTGTTAACTCAAATTGTACTTATCGATTCACATGTAGACATTGCAGTAAATAAGCGGGAAGAATAGAAGGACGATTATCTACCAGGATTCCTGAATGAACTCTAAAGAGTCTACATCTCATAGATTCATCCTAATGTAACAATGGAAAAAAACCTCCACTTATGTGATATGGGCATTAATTAGATTAGATTAAACAACAACCCCATCTAACATTGATAGTGCCAGAGTAGAAAACTGATAGTTTTTTCAACTCTCAAGTCTAGTTGTTAGAGCTTGTTTCGCATTGTTCGGTTTGTTCCTGTAGTAGACAAGGAAATCTCTTCTGCTTTCTTACTTTCATCTCCAGTGAGGTGAATGTTTTTATTGATTAGTAAATTATAATTTGTAGAGTGATTAGACAGCTACAGGTCACTGGGAAGATTAAGGGTCTGTCATGACTCCTGTTTATATAGGTGCCTTAATAGGAATAGCAAGTAGTGAGAAAGGTTATATAGGAATTACCTAGAAGGCAAAAGTAGACAGTATGAGTCTAGTTGCTAGAGAAGAGTTAGTAGATATTGTAGGTGTATTAACTAGCAAGGTAGTCGGTGGTAAATAGAAAGGAAGTAGTGATGGGTTAGTGAGGTTAGCAGTTCCCTGAGTACTTCTGTGGTAAACCATGCGAAATGACACAGCCTTCTAATCGTCTTCTGAATAAGCCTACATCCTGTGGTAAGGCATTCCATAAAGCACATACTCTTAAGGAGAAAATTTTAGACCTGATCCTGGCATCAGCTCTTTGATGTACTCTCTTGATGAGTTTTCCTCTTGATAAAAGTGGTGTTACAGGCAACGCCAGTTTGTTTATGTGATTTGCCCGATGGATGATCTTGTAGGCCATAATAAGGTAGACAAAGGACGTAGTGTCTATTTTCAGTTACCAAAGCCGTCACTGTCCGACGAACTTTTGGAAATCTCATTATCTCCAGCATGTCACTAATGAGCACCTGACAGTATTTCAATTTGAATTTTGAAGGGAATTATTCATATCGACATTTTATTTGTATTACCAAGATATCACACTCAATTATGATTTTGCTAAGATACTTTTTTTCATGATTACGTGACCGCTTCTATTCATTCCCGATGTTATATCACTGGTTCGCGAATATTTCTCCTCTTGCCTTATCTAGTTTGGTTGAATATATTTCATGAACCTCCTTTGTATTCTTTTCTGGTGATCATCGAATCAATAACTGGTAACTTACTAAGCTCCATATAATTTAGTTGCGGCCAGCAGAGGAATCCAGGATGTGCGTTTCATCCTGTCTGGGACTCGTCAGCTAGATGTACCTGTACACCAGTACGGAGTGATGTTGTTCCCACCAAGACTCGAAACTCATACCCATCGCTTCAAACATCAAGGCGTTATTCACTCTGTCACGGAGGAACAATGGCCACTTCTTGTACAACAGGTAGCAGTTATTACTATCTATTTGTATACTTGTAATTCTCCGCTGTTTCATTGGATCGAGTTGTTCGACCTCTATTGGTATATGGGCTCATATGCCGATGCCTCGATATTGGCTGAATGTCATTTATGGCAATTTAGTTGGTTGTGGCTAGCAGAAGAATCCAGAAAGCGCGTTTCGTCTAATTTGGGGCTCGTCAGCTGGGTATGTGACCCCATATACGAATAGGGATCGAATAATTCGATTCAATGAAACAACGGAGAGTATGAAGTACATCAGTAATTAGTAATAGTTCTATATAAGTTTCTGTTTAACTGACAGAAACCATTTGAAATAAAGTCATGTCATCTCGTTTTGTGAATGGTGCCCATATTGTGTTATTCAACGCTATTAAAGAGTCTTAGTGGATGAGACTAAGTTTTTAACTAGTAGCTTAACTCCTGCAGGAACAGACCAAGACCTGGCACCAGCCGACGAAGTCCCTGACTGTTGGCCTGAGCTGTGTGGGGAGATGTAGACCACCCAGCTTGGGTCCCCGAGAGGCTAAGAACCAGTGGTTGAAAGATGGAGCAGAGGAACAGCCAAAAGGAAAATCTATTCAGTCAGTGACACAACAACTACAGATATTCATGAACAACTGCTGCCTACACTGGCTCCTTACTGAATGAAGATCAGATGACCAGAATAATAAGAATAAGCAACAAGGAATTGTGGCTGGCTGACTGGTAACGAAGCAACGAAGCAAGAATCTATCACTCAACAAATATGCAGTAGAAGGAAGTGGAGATGGATTGGGATGGGCTAGGCTGGACTGGGCATGCACTGAGAAGACCGATTGGGGGCATCATGCATCAGGCGAGGCAAGGCCGTCGAGTGTAACCCAGATGGGAAACGACGAGTTGGGCGTCCGAGGTGAGGGTGAGATTGAAGAGATTGTGTGAGTAAGAAATGAGAGGTTGTTGGCAGTCATGGAGTCAGGTTGAAAAGATTGCAGAGGAGGGAGTGTAATGGAGACGTGCTAGTGAATCCGTATGCTCGCCTAGGAACCCAAAGGACAAATAATAATGATAATTCAATGACACAACAATCAGAGGAAACAACCAATGAAAAACCAGTTGGTCAGGACGAGCTACTAAATCACTGACACAGAGATATTGACAGCCCACTTCATACTGAAGTTAGTGCTGATGATGTCGCTGTCTCGAAAGACGATGAAAGCTTCACGATTAAACAACCCAACTCAGAGAACACAATACAACCAAGACCATTCATCTGAGCTACAAATATTCTCGACGATTCCACTAGAATCTTATTTGAAAGCAACTTGCATGGTCAAAAGAAAAATTTCGAAGGTAGTTTGAACTCTTCATTAGAATTAGTATCATGTCAAAACTCCTGTTAGTCAATTCATTGCGTTTATCCTTCTTCATATACACTTTATACTTTAGTACTTTTCACTATATATATATATATATATATATATATATATATATATATATATATATATATATATATATATATATATATATATATATATATATATATATATATATATATATATATATATATATATATAAGGATATGAATAAAATTTACCCTGTACGACATCCAGGAATACCAGAATCAACCAATAATTCATAATTTGTAAATTCCAACTCTTTACCATCGTGTGGACAGTATACTTTTCCGTATTGAGGAATAAATTTGCCAGGGATTAAATCACCATTCAGGTTTCCACGAGCAACATATACTGATTCATCTCCTTTGATAGCATTCTTTGGAAATGCACCATCTTTTTCTGGGACCCATGAAAGTGGAATCTGTAATCCGTTACCAACTTTGGCCATAGATATAACAGACTAAATATAAATTAATTAGGAGATAAGAAAAATGCTCATAAAAATGCCTTTATACAAAATATGAAATGGTGAAGTGGAGACGTGCTACTGAAGCCCTATGTTCGACTAGGAACCCAAGGGATAAACAATAATAATAATAATGGTAACGGTAGTAATAACAATAATAATAATGATGCTTATTTACAACGCAAAAGCTTTTAAAGTCCCTACAGTTAGGTGGGAACTTATTTCCTTGAAAATTTCTGTACTTAATGTACAGTCAACTTGTGAAACATTATGTGAAGTTTTCAAGTCACCGGCTGATGTCGTTCAAGGTTCAAAATGACTGTAAAAGGAGTTAATTATTTTGCTATGAAACTAATGATGTATAGAATTTGAGGATTTACGGGGATTTGGCAGTTTTTCAAGTCAGTATTCATCATGAAGTGACATCGATTGGAGGAACACTAGAAACTAGAAAGCACTGGATAGTTTTTTTGTTCTCGTATGGGCCTCCTCAGCAGTACGCATCCATGAACCCGCCTCGCCATGGCCACCAAGTTACCTTGAGGATAAATACTCAACGTTAATATTTGGTGATGGTAGCGCTATATGGTGAACTGACAGAAGTTGAAAATATGGACAACCAGATTTCGACATAGTGGCTCAATCGTGACGTGCTGACCACGGAACCTGAAGGTCCTGTGTTCCGTCCCTGGGGTGAGGAGTCATGGGTGCGCATTGCTGAAAAGTCCTATTCTAGTGAGATGGAACAGTTATCGAATGCTGTCAGGTTTCCAGCGTTCCTCCAACTAGTGTCAGTCCGTGAGGAATATCAAATCGAAAAGTGATGAAAAGTGACTTCAGTACGCATGTTTCATCCTATTCCGGACTCTTTAGCTGGGTTGACCTGCATTCCAGTGAGTGGTTTTGTTCCTCCTGAGAAGTGAACCCAGCTATTTCCGAACCCTTTTGTTAGCCATTATATATCTTTGCCTTCAAACTTCAATCTCCGGGATTATCGAGGCATCCGTGAAGGAGCCCATGCGCCAATAATGGTCAGTCAATTTCGTCTCATCAATGACAGAAAACCACAAGCTGTACCATCGTTATTCTGCCGTTTTAGAAAACTGAAATATTGGTAACAAAGTTTATTTTAGTAAAATGAAAGAAGTTGATGAGCTTATTCATGAACTACGGAAAGCATGAAAACGTTAGCGGTTAAAAAGTGAGTGAATGACATTATTAATAATTATTATTATTTGTCCCTTGGGTTCCTGTTGGAACATAACGCTTCGCCAGAATGTCGCCATTTCACTCTCTTCTCTGCAATCTTTTGAACCTGGCTCCACGACTTCCCAGAAGCTCTCATTTCTTCCTCACACCATCTCCTCCATGTCACGCATGGCTTGGACGCCCAACTTGTCGTTTCACATTTGGCTTCCATTCTAGGGCCTGGTGCGTAATGTCCCCTAATGGTTTTCCAACTCTATGTCCAGTCCAATCAGTCACCATTTTCTGCTGCATATTTGTTGGTCGACGGTAATTGGTGCTTGTTTTTGTTATTGTTGTTAGTTGGATATCTTCATCACCTCTTCCTTCTCTACCTTCACCTGCAGAGACTGCCGTCTTCCCTCATTGCCTCGCCTCATATGCCAACTTGTTACTTTCCCACTGCACATCTTCGACTTTGTGCCATATTAGACATAATTCATCACTGCAGAAATCCAAATATTATTCCAATGTCTTTTTATTCGTCAAACAGCGTATACTCATCATCTCACTCTTCATAGTTTCTAGCATGATGCAGTCAAGTCCAGCTCACAACAATCAGGAAGATCATCGGTGATAGTAGATGCCAAACTTGTCTTACTCCTGTCTTCACTTCACTCCGAAGGCATCACTCAGCAGCTATCCATTGTGAACCACTTCACATGCAGCATCACATAGCATATAACTGTTGAATGAGGTTGATAAAGATTTGTGTTGAAGCATCTGTCTGTCAAATTACTTCTCCATCGATGCTATCTCACGTTTCTTCATAGTCGATGAAGTTGAGGTGGAGTTCAGTTGACTGGTATTATATGCTCTGTTCTGTGATGATGCATAGCATAGAGTTTCAATTTGTTCCGCATATGACTTATTACTCCAGGAGTCAACCAGCCTGTGTTGGTCGCAATTTTGAATGCACAACATCTCTTAGTCTCTCCACGATGATGTGGCTTAATATTTTGCTTGCTCTGGGTGGACAGGAGCATGATTCCATGCCGGTTCTTGCAAAGACTCAGGTCAACCTTCTTTAGCAGTTTGACAACTTCGAACTTCTTCCAATCGATCACCAGGTACCTTTCTTCCCCTCCTTGTTTCCAAATACTGTGTAATAGTGGTGTGAGCGAATCCGCAGTTGTCTCTGTGTCTGTTTTCAGTGCTTCTGGAGGAATTCCATGTGGTCGTGCTGCTTTCGCGGATTTCATCAACTTAATGGAGTTGAGGATTTCATTTTTATTCTTGTCGGAGTCTTTGTGTTTTCACTGGTAGTTCTGTGGGTGGACTGGTGGTAGTATTTCTGGATGAGTTGCAGTTGTTGTTGTTGGTGGTGGTGATGGTCGATTGAAGAGTTTTGCGAAGTGATCAGCTCATCATTTCCTTTGTTTTTTCCCTTTGGTTACTAGGTTTTCTTCTCTTTCACCGGTTTCATCCGCGTTGATCTCTTCTCATAGGTTGAGTAACATTACTGAACTATTAAAAACTGCGAAACTGTGAAATCTTCATGACTGTACTTACTACTGAGTTTTACAAAAGGGATTTTCAACATTAAGCTAATTGGCATCGAGCAGTGGAATTCAGAACCAGCGTTCTGTCCTGTTTGTGACTAGTCAGCCAAATGACACTCTCTACTTCAGTTAGGTTAGTTTTATCATTGTGTACTTCGTTCTTTTGATAAAGTGTAAATGCTGACAGAAGTAGCAAGACTGAATTGCTATCAGTAGCTATAAATTTACCATTGTATACCCTTATGATGTTCATGGTTTATACCATTTTTAAAGCACTGAAGAAAGATGAGATGGAATGAATCTCAGCTTCCAATGAACGCCAAAGAAAAGATCTTCGAAACCTAGCTAGATTCCGTTTCAGAATATTCAGTACAATAAACATGCAAAAGAGTAAGGAATAATCTTGTTTTGTTTTCTAATGACAGATAACCAGTGTATAAGCCACATTATTATTATTATTATTGCTATTATTATTATCGTCCCTTGGGTTCCTAGTCAAACATACGGATTCACTAGCACGTCTCCAGTACACTCTCTTCTCACCAGTCTTCAAAACCTCACTCCATGACTCCACAAAACCTCTCATTTCGTAAACACACAATCTCCTCAATCTCACCCTCAACTCGGACGCCCAACTCGTCGTTTCCCATCTAGGTTACACTCGTCGGCCTTGCCTCACTTGGAATGTGATGTCCCCAACCGGTCTTCTCAGTGAGTGCCCAGCCCAGCCCAACCCAACCCAATCCAATCCATATCCACTTCCTTCTACCGCATATTTGTTGAGCGATATGTTCTTCCTTCGTTGTTTCGTTACCAGTCAGCCAGTCAGCCAGAGTGAGCTCCTTGTTGCTCATTCTTATTATTCTGGTCATCTGATCTTCATTCAGTAAGGAGTCAGTGTAGGCAGCAGTTGTTCATGAATATCTGTAGTTTGTTGGAAATCCCTTTCGTGACACGCCAAGTCTCTCAAACATCACATACAAGCATTGACTTACTCGACTGACAGTTGTGTTGAAAATCTAGATGTTGTTCACGCTTTATGCTGAGTGCAATGCAGAAGATCTCCACACTGGTTTCAGGTTGATGAACACAGGCCTGTTTTGCTGTGTTTCCGATTGTGTCTAGTTTTGACATCCTCGTTTATGCCGCCACCTGTAGTTGAAACGATGCTGACCAAACTGTTGACTGGAGCCTGTTGTTGATGTTGTTGTTGTTGTTGGTGGTGGTGGTGTTGGTTGGGTATCTTCATCTGTCACCTCTGTCTTCTCTACATTCACTTGGAGTCCCGTCTTCGCTGCCCTGCCTCCCCTCTTCTGTCAACTTGTTGTTTTTGCCTGTATATCTTCAAGTTTGTACGACATCAGACACAGGTCATCAGCGAAATCCAAATCTTCTAGGATGTTTTCGCCGATCTAGCCATCGTATCCACCTCTTCTCGTTCCTCACTGTTTGTTGCATGACCCAGTCCACTACAACCACGAATATCTTGGTTGATAGTAGGTTGCAGTCTTGTCTTACCCATTCCTGTCTTCACTCCACTTCAAAGGCATCACTGAGCAGCTTCCCATTGTGAATCACTCGGCACGTGGCGTCTTCATATAGTTGTTGAATGAGGTTGATAAATGTTTGTGGTATTCCGTAGTGTTGAAGCAACTGCCTGCCTAATTACTTCTCGGTCGACATTGTCGAAGGCCTTTTCAAAGTGTATGAACTTGAGGTAGAGTTGAGTTGACTGGCATTCTATACTCTGTTCTATGATGATGTGTATCGTAGCGTTGCAATTTGTTCCCCACATGATTTGTTCTTCCTGAATCTACCCTGTTTCGGTCGTAGTTTTGGATCCAGCACATCTTTTAGTCTCTCCAGGATGATGCGGCCTAATATTTTGCTTTGGGTAGACAGGAGTGGAGCATGATTCTGCGTCAGTTCTTGCAAAGACTTACGTCGCTCTTCTTTGGAAGTTTGACAAGTTAGCCCTTCTTCCAATCGTCAGTATAAGTCACATAAATATAAGAATAAATGAATTTATCCAAATATGCAGTTATTGAACTCAGTTAGTGATACCTTAGTTTTGAGGTCAAAAGATTATCTTACTACTGAGAGCGTCGTAGTTGGCTTTTTGCGTTAAATAGGACTATAAATCTATGATAAGAGTAACAAAGATTAGGAAACGGTATAGCTGTGTCTTATTGGTCTAGATGTTTGATTTCCAATTGGTGGGTGATCGTTTCGAATCCATCTTCACAC